CCGGGGGCAGGTGGGGGAGGCTCCACCCCCGCGGCTCTTCCCGCCGGCGGCGGCGGCGGCGGGCGCCTCCCCAGCAGGAAGCGACGGTTTTATTCCTCGTGCGGCGGCGGCGGGGTTCGGCTGGGGCACTTTTAGGCGCTCGGTCAGGATTCGGGGACTGAGTACTGAGAAGTGCGGCTGAGCGCTCTGGTCTTTTCCTTTTGTCAGTTCAAGGAGCCCGCTATGAGCTGGGTAAAACTCCCGTCCTTTACACCTGCTGTTAATAAGGGAGAGAAAGTCCTGTAACGGCAGTGTGGTGAGGAAGGTAGAATAAACAGTGGGGTGAGGGCCTGGTCCCTAAATATTCGTGGGGAGGCTGTCAGAGCTGTTCTCTTTAGTCCTCAGGATTTTTTTTTTTAACCAGGATTAAGGGTGGAAGCCACAAAGAGGCCAAGTCAACAAGAATTAGGACCAGACATACATTCTTGCTGGTCAGCGTGCCTGACCTAGGTAGGAGGCACTGTGCTTTCCCAGCTGCCCAGGGTTGGAGGAGAGTCCTGGTAACCACTGAGGGAAGAGTGGGTTGTAAAGGAGATTTAAACATCAGGTGGAAGGTTGGATTGATGACGCTTTCGGTTCTCTTCTGTAATTCTGTCGTTAGCTTTACACTTGATCTTAGCCAAAAGGCCGAGAAGCAATCTGTCATTAGCTTTAGAAGTCTAACTTTTCTGAGTTTGGTGGTCACTGAGTTATTTGAATTACTTCAGTTTCAGGCACTTCTCAATATCTGTGCTGAGACGATTATGTAAGGAAAGGTCCTCAGATGGTTAATCCTTAATCATTAACCTCTGGGAGCTTTGGTACAAAATGCTTGCTTCCCTGCAGCCTGGCCTGCTCTTTTCAGTGCAGCCCTTGAGCTTAACCTCAGGGGGCAGAGGTTGCCCATACAGGTGCTGCATCGCTGGCATTCACACTCCTGGCCCCTTCAAGGCCCTCCGGGGTGCTTTTTGTTGCCTGTGCAAGGCTGATGTTCAAAAATGTTTCCCTAGGATAAGCTCAGGCAAGGCTCAGCCCTACCCAGCCTTCAGTATCTTTAACTGTAGAATGCCAAATGGTTAATACTAAACATCTATTTTGTAGCTCACAGAGCAGTCACAGATATCAGAGAGATTATAACCTCCTTGTGCACATGAGGAAATGCAGATTCAGCAGTTAACTAACCTGATCAATGATACACGGAGCTGAAAACTAGCAAAACTAAATAGAAACCCTGGTGTTTAATTCTCAGACCAGTGAGATTTTTCAATTCAGAGATTTTAAAAGTTCTGGGCTGTTGACATATTTAGTTGGCCAGTTCAGATGCCTGTTTGCTTTTAAATGAAAGTTTATATTTCCAGAATAATACTTACACGTAGTTTAAACATAAAATAGTATGAAAACTCTAATTTCAAGAAACAGTGGTTCGCATCTCTACTGTTCAGTCACTCCACACACTCCCTGCATCTTTTCCTCCAAACAAGGCTACAGTGGGGAAACTTTAATTTTCCTTCTGGAATTTAACTATTTCTAAATTTTATGCTTATTATGCTTTTTTTCAATTGAATAATAGACATTACCTATTAACTTTGTGTTATAGTAAGCAAGGATTTAGTTCTCTTTCCCTTCCATTCTTGTCTCCATCCTTCACTTACTATAACACGAAGTATTCCCATGCATCTGGGACTTCTCCAGTTAACTTTCACAGGGGACTAAACCTGCAGTCTTTTTCAAGGGTGAAGACAGACCAGGTCTCTTGGATGTAGGGAAGGAGCATATTGGTGGTTTCAACACTTAGTGTTCATACTCCCAACCCCTGTATTCCAAAGGTGGTGACTTCCTGCACCTACAGATGTCAGTTACCTTCTCCCACCTTCCATTGTCTTCCCAGCCTTGTTTTGAAATTGTTCTCTGCTAGTTTCTCCTCTTAGGATTTCTCCGTGGCTTCTAACCTTTTTTATTTCTTTTACTGTCATTTTAAGAGGGTCTGGGAAAGGAAGACAGGTAAGTTGATCAGCCAGGCATAAGTTGATCAGTTAAATGCGAAGCCCCATAGTGGTTTTTTTCCAAATTGAATTCAAATCCTTTTGACACGTGGTATGCCCTGTTTAGTTCCCCTTACACTCCTCTAGTTATTTTCTTATACCTGACCTTAACACAACATTGTAAATCAACTATACTTCAATTAAAAAAAAAGTACATGGGAAAAAGAAAAAAAACTGTTTGAAGCAATGTATTTGCATGTAAATAAATGTAAGTGAAAAATAAAGCTCCCTTCTTCAGCTTCCAGAGGTAAGTCTATTCCTATAAAGGCATGTCTGTATGTCTGTAAATGTGTATCTGTATAATATCCTTTTTCCCATACACACAAATAGAACCACGCTGAACACACTGTCCTTTACACTACTACCTTTTTTTTTTCATTTAAACTATTTTGGACTAGTTTGGGGATAATCAGTATCTATTTGACTACTAGAGAAATGATTGATCATTTTAACATTTATTAATGTTTTCCTGATGCTAAAAAAGTAAGACATTTTCACTGTACAATATTCAGAACATTTATCATCTCTGAATTTGCCTTCTGTGTTCATCAATTTTGGAACTCCCCCATTTCCAAGTTTCTAAACCAGCCATAGCGCCCAGATGCCCTCTCAGTAAAATTTTGCTATAGAAGTATTGAAAAGACCTGAGATGTTCATTTGTCCTGCCTTTTCCACTACTTTTTTTGAAGAAGGGAGTTTTATCCATTAGACACTCACATTTAAAAACCAGACACACTGTGTATTGCACACTCTGAAATTTGCCAGTACATTAAACTGAACATAATTAACCTGAAAGTAATACAGTGTTATATGTCAATTACATCTCTTTTGGTTTTTTTAGTTTAAAATAAACAAATTTAAATGAACATGAGCATTTGGTGCTGATTTTCCAATTTTGCATCCGGAAGCCTCTTCTGGAAGTTCCAGCAGAATGATGAAAAGTGGACATGAGTTGGGAGCACAGGCATGATTTGTATCCTCAGGACCCTGGGCTCTGTTGGTGGGAGGGAAAGTACATTTACACACAATCAGTTATCTGATTCTTTAGCAGTAGTTCTTTACTGAGTACCGCCTGTCATGCAGGCACCAAGCAGGTGTCCTGCACCCTGAGTCAGGCGAGGTCAGTAGGGGAATAGAGGGCAATCAGAGAGCTGAGTTGCAGACAGCAGCCTGAGCAGGCAGAATGGCCCAGCAGGGATGATCTTAAATCAGGAGCTGGAGGGCAGGGAGCTGGGAGAGGGAGACTATGGGACAGGTCACTCCCACCTCCTTCCCCCACAACAGGCCCTTCCCTCTAGCTTTGCTCCTTCCTCCCTGCACTGCCCCCATCCTCCTTAGTTATTTATGTAGGATCTCTGACTGCTGGGCATATTTTATTAACTGTTTCAGTTATAATGTAGTTTTTAACCTTTTACTTAAAAAAAAGCCTTTCTATTTTGTTCTGCAGTTGCTTTTTGCTGATTGAAATGTGTTATGTTCATATGAACATGGTTGATGACAGGTGTTTTTTTCCTTTCTAGTTATGAAAAACCTCCTCCTGGGCTTATCAAGGTCAGTGTGAAGTTTGTACTTCTGGTTTTTCTCTGAGACGTTTCACTCAGTGCTCAGACTCAGTCACTTGTTAGTAAAAAAAAAAAGCTGCATAAGGTTTGAGCCTCCGTTTATGATAGTCCTGCTTCTTCCCTGCAGATGCCAGTCCGTTCATACACTTTGCGCTTTGTCACGGCCTGTGCCTTTGCAGAGATTTAATCAGCCTTGTGTCTGATTAAATAAATAAGAAACCACTGCAGGCCCACGTATGTTTCTCAGCGATCGCTCCCCTTCATTCGCTTGTGACTGCATCTTCTCAAAGCTCTGCTCCCCATGTTCCTTCTCTGACTCTCCTGGTGCTGGTTTTTTGAATGTCATCAGCTCAGAGAACAGTGGACTCTGAGGAGACTTGAAGCTCATCCAGTGCAGCCTCCTCTGGTGCCCGAGTCCCTCCTCCAGCACCCTGGCCACAGTGTCAGTGTCTTTCTGTGGGAGTGAGACTTAGAGGACTGACAGACAAAACAACCTTTCCTGTTTAGTAACTTTCAATTGGAAAAAAAAAAGATTTTTAGAAACATTCTTCCATTATAAATTTAATATTCATGGAAACTTGAAAAAATCATAAGGTTAAAAAAATACAGCACCTTAATTGTATAGTGCAGTTACTTGGTGGTGAAAACACATTTCACAAATACGACATGTATGAGATTATAAAAAATGGAAGTGGCCTTAAAGGCCTAATAATCTGTTTTAATCTACATGTTATTTTTATTATTCTAGGAAACCTTACTTTAATTCTGTACTCTGCATCATCCCACAAAGATTTTAAGTGAATAGAAAGCTTTTTGTGATCTTAGAATCTGATTTTTGTGATCTAGAATTAGTATTTGGAGTTTACAGATCAATCCTGTGTAAACACTGTAATTTTTATACAAGAACAGCTACTTTGTTTTGGGGTTATAGTTCTTCTAGTATACTTATTTTCGTTTTTTCTGTCAGTTATAATTTGTCTTTTTAGCTCTTCAGGGGTAACTTGATGACATTGGGATCTGGAGCCCATGAGAAAGCTAGACAATGCTTGGTCTCAAACAGGTGGGAGAGAATTACAGTGTGTTTTTTGCCATAGAGCTTACACGTTGTTTCCTTTTTCAGGAAGATGAGACTAAGCCAGAAGACTGTATACCAGATGTCCCAGGCAATGAACATGCCAGGGAATTTCTGGCCCACGCACCAACCAAAGGACTTTGGATGCCACTGGGGAAAGAAGTCAAAGTCATGCAATGTGAGTATGAAAGGGTTTCAAGTAACATCCTCAGTACATGCAAGTCATGGACCACAGTTTACAAAACATGTTCATTTCTTTTAATTAATTCATTCTCACCACAGTGCTGTGAAAGTCAGGGCATGATCTCTATTCTATAGATGAGAAGCCCCCTTACATATATTAGTAAGTAGTCTGAGGTAAGGGGCAGAGCAGTGCTTTGAATCCAGGGCTTCTGGCTCCACTGGTCCTGGTCTTCCACGTCCATAGCTGCCTGCAGAGTATACACAGTAATATTCCTGTAACAGAAAGGATACTCCATGTAGAAATGTCATGGGGGACAAGAGATGTATTGGGGTGAGACCCTCTGGGGCTTGACTCAGTGGTGTTAAGGTTTTATCCAGGTAACCTGAGAGGAGCCACGGGTCACAGAGGGTGGGTCTGGAACAGGTGGAGCTCTGTGTGCGCACTCTCCACCGCACCAGAGCAGTGACACCTGCATCCAGCCTAAGATGGCATTTGAAGAAAGCGTTCTGCTGCCTTTAAAGACATTTATTTGTATAAAGATTATTCATGCAGGAGAAAAAAAGAGATTCTTCATGCACATAATTAAAATAGCAGTTCCCAGCCCCTTTTCTTCATTCCTCTCACCCTAAAGGCAACCACTTCAATCTTTTTTAAGAAGGTTATTTTGAAGTTTATCCTTATGTATCTAGATAAATATGATTACATTCCTGCCCCTTGATTTTTCAGATCTCTTCATTATCTGTTGACTTCTTACTATGGAAGACATGAGTTCAACTCTTTTTTTCCTGCCTCTATCTCATTCCATACACATACCCTCCCTGTCTCCCATTTTCCCAGTAAGTCGTATCATAATTTAGGTAAATAAATGCTTTGTGTTTATTATTCTCAGAGTTACACTGATTATATTTCCTTTTTCTAAAATTAAGTTTAAAGATCTCTCTTGCTTCTTCATCTTCTGAGACGGCCCCCTCACTCTGTCTAGGGAGTGTGTATCTATTTAGCACCCAACCCCCACACCTCGTAGCCTTTGTCTCACCTTCTGAAACAGCCTGCACTCTATGGAGTATGTATCTCTCTAAATAAATCTACCTTTACTCAACTGTGGCTCACTCTTGAATTCTTTCCTGCAGGAAGCCAAGAACCCACATACACACTTGGCAGAGCACGTCCCAGGGGCTCAACCAAGACCTGGGACACAGCCCTCCACTCACCCCACATTCATTTTTCCTGTATCATCTCTCTGACACCCAACATGAGGCATTTAATTAAAGAAACAGGGCTTAAAATTAAGTTTAAAACCACTCCTCTGTGTGCTGGGGTAGTTAGTTTTGTTTCACTTGCCATTCACTTTCATTGACTTGGAAATTAAGAGTTTGGTCTGGACCAGAACCAGTTTTACATGAAGCTGAGTTACAATTCCAGAGGCTAAGAGTCCAAAATCAAGGTGTCAGCAGGGTTGGCTCCTTCTGAGGTCTTTGAGGAAAGGATTTATTCCAGGCCTTTCTAAAGACCCTATCTCCCAGTAAGGTCACATTCTTAGGTACCAGGGGTTAGGACATTCATTCCAGTGAGGAGGCAGAGGGAACGACACAATTCAACCTGTAACATGCGGTTAAAAAAAAAAAATCACACTTTGCTTTTTGAGTAGGATTATTTAGTAAGTACTTGGTTCATTTCTAAAATTCTACAATTAAAGGATAATTGAGAAAGTAATTAGTTTCCCTCTCTTTTCGTGGTTCATCCATTAATTACATTTACTTTTAAAATTGGAGTCGAATTGAAGGATATCTTTAATATGATCTACGGATAGTTTATCTTAAGTAAAAATACATTATCTTACAGAAATATATGTCTTTTTCTTTGTTTTAGGTTGGCGTTGTAAACGATATGGTCACCGAACAGGTGACAAAGAATGCCCTTTCTTTATCAAAGGCAACCAAAAGTTGGAACAGTTTCGAGTAGTAAGTAAAACCCCAGAGTGTCAACTTAAATTTACTGGAGATGATGAATGTCAGTGAATCAGGCAGTCACAGTGAACTGGAGGTTTACATGAAAAACATTCCCAAAATCCTTTAGGCCAAAGTATCTGCTATTAACTACATCTATATTAAGTAGAATTTGTGTGACAAATTAGTTGATTAACAAAAAAATGCTTATTAAATTGTTATTTACTTATGTTTTGTAAGCACTGCTTTTTTCTGAAGCAGACATCTTTATTCAATCACTTTTTCTACTTATGTAAAAGAATCATATTTTATAAAGAAAAAATCAGGGTTCTATTTTGCCAGTCCTTGTCTAAAGATTATATATTTTTCTGTCATAAACTAGAAGTGTGTGTACAAATGATATGCCTTCTTTAGATGAAAATAAAATCAGTCTACCATTTCGTCACTTGATTTTAACAAAGATACATCCCAGAGGTGTTAATTCATCATTCAGTAACTGTTTTAGTCAGTTTAACTATGCTATGACTAGATATATTAGGATTATCAGCATATATCAAATATGGGGTTTATGAACATTTTCCAAGGATTTTAAGACATTTAAAATATTAGATTTTCATTTTACTAATTTATGGAAAATGCCCTGGACAAATCACTGCTACCTAGAATGTCAACTTTTAGAGTGCCTATAACAGGTAATTTGATGATAAATCTTAAAAACTTAAACATACTCATATTTTTTTAATTTAGAAATCTGAATTCTAAGAATTGATCTAAGAATATAACAACATAAGTATACACAAATTTTTATGAATATGTAAGGATAACTTTCAGAATTATTTATATGATTGAAAAATAGAAACTGAAGAAAAAGGAAACAACTTCAGTGTCCAATATACAACATAAATTACCACAACATATAAAACATATAGCTTTTAAGAATTATGTTTTAAAAAAATATGTAATGCCACGGGAAGATATTCATGAAAATGTATGTGAAAAGAGTTATATATATGACTGTAATTTTTTGTGAATTATGAATAATAACTGGGAGAACCACACTAAAATATTTCCAGTGGATATCCCTGGGTGGTAAGATAATACACATTTTTAACTATGTTTTCTTTGATGTGTAAAATTTTTATAATAAATGTATTTTAAAGATAATTCACATACTATAAAGTTCATTCTACATGTATTCATATTTTTAAGTAATTTAAGTAATTTTAAATCATACAAATATTACAAGATACATTTGCCTTATTTTAACAAAATGGAAACAGTAAGGTTTTTCGCAATTGATTTTTCAAGTCCAATTTTGCCTCTATTCCCAGAGGGAATTTGTAGTAAGTAGCTTAATGAGTATACTTCCAGACTTCTCTTTGGTCATAAACAGTATGTTTTTGTGCACCCATAAGTGAATCATTCTTATGTATCATTTCCGACTCACTTGTTTTGCTTAATAATATCTCTCTATCATTATTTCCACCTGGAACAAATAGAATTACCTCAATATTTCTAACCTTGAGTAGTATTTAATGATTTGCCATGGTTTATTTCCTTATAAAGGCTATGTAAATTATATCCTGTATTTGTATATTGGAAAATCTTTTTCATAGCCTCCATGAGTTTGAACCTTTAGGAAAGATTAGGACATGTTTTATATAAAATTACACCAAACAGGGAAAAAAAAGCCTAGCTTCAGTGAAAGAGGGATTTAATTTTCATTTAACAATCTGTGAAGCGTGGCCTAATTTTAATCTTCTCTAACCCTCAAGGCACATGAAGATCCCATGTATGACATCATACGAGAGAATAAAAGACATGAGAAGGATATAAGGTGAGGTTGTCCTGATGATAACAATATCCTCTTAAAGTATGAAATTATATAAAGTTAGAAACAACCATTCCGGTATTAGAGGAGTGGTTTAGTAAATATGGTGCTTTAATTGTGAAATATTTAGAGAATAGGAGTAATCTCTGAATAGGCCAGTACGCGGAGAATGAGCAGGCCAGCCTGTTCTACTTGGATTAGCTTAAAACAGTGGGCTTGGCACAGCCCACTCATTGCACTGATAGTTGAAGTTGGCAACTATAATTTATCTTATCCAGTGACTTTAAAGAGCTAAGCTTTTGTAAAAAATTCCTAGACTAGCTTAAAGATAAGGTGGGAAAAAAAAAGTCATTTTGGTTTTGTTTTTTTTTCCAAATTGGTGACATTGAATTATAGTTGTTGAGGAGGTAGATTACCTAGTTTGAACTTGAGCAGTGGGGAATGATTTAGGAAAGTGTGCATCTGTTAGAAGTTATAATAGCAAGGAATATAGAAACATGGAGAAATATTTAGGACAACGAGAAGAATACAAAGTGGCTTGTACACTGGTTATAATCATGTAAAATAAGACAAGAATGGGAAAACATGCAAAAATAAAAACAAATATTGTCTTCAAAAAGGTGATTATTTGTGACATTTTTCACCCTCACTACTGCTTTTATATTTATATCTTTTAAAAAATTTTTTAAGTTGAATATGGTTCTTTGGCCATTCTTACATGTTTATTTTTTTTCATTCTTATGTGTTTAGGATACAACAGTTAAGACAGTTACTAGAGGATTCAACCTCAGATGAAGATGAGAGCAGCTCCAGTTCCTCAGAATGTAAAGAGAAACACAAGAAAAAGAAGAAAGAAAAACATAAGAAAAAGAAGAAAGAAAAGAAAAAGAAGAAAAAACGGAAGCATAAGTCTTCCAAGTCAAGTGAGAGTTCAGACTGAGAATGACAAGAACTTGACTTGTTCAGCATTCTCTTCTCAAAAAACTAACACCGTGGCCAAAGATCAGAGGAATGTGGGATCGGAGAGGAATAGGAGAGAGAGTCACCAAGACAGGAGGAGATTTGGTGTCACAGGTGCGAATTCTCACCTACCTTCTAGTAAAGGTGTGACCCAGCGGAGAGAGGGTTGTATCTTGCCAGGTGCTAGCTCTGGGCAGCTGCTGATTTCAGGCCGGAAAGCTTTTGTCCCTGCTGATCACTGTGGTTTGTGATCCCTTAGAAATGCCTCCGGCAGGGTGTCCAGACTAAGGGAATCTCTGAGGAAGCTCCTCCAGGTGCTGCCACAGCTTTCATCCTCCTTGGTGGGGCTACTTACTGCCCATAGACTTCAGGCTTGACTTTCCTCTGTTGTTGAGGATAATAAAAGCTCATTATTTATTTTTTAAATGTAGTTATCTTTGATTTCTTAATAATGCATACATGTGCTCCCAATTTAAAAGGTATATAAGATTTAATTATGAAAACTCTTCCTACTTCCTTTTTCCCTCAGCTACCCAATTCCCTACCCCAGTGGTTACCAATTTAACCAGTTTCTTGTGAAGTTTCCAGGAGTATTGTATACATCACAAGCATAGGGCTTTTTTTTTTAATACAAATACTACATATTCATCTACACATTACTTTTTAACTTAACAGTATAAAACTGATTTTAATATCAAGTACATTCTGCATTGCTGCACCAAAGGTACAGTGTGTTCATAATCACCTGAGATTAGTTGAAGATGGGGCAGGGTTCCTATAACAACAGTGAAAAATGTTGTGTGGCTACATTGAATTTAACTTACTTGGATCTTACTGCCTGAGTCCTAAGATTTTCCTGGAGTAACTGTCTCAGAAAAATTGTAAGAGTATAGGGGAATTACTATTTCAAGTCAGCTACCACATCCCAAAATGTCTCCCTCACTTCCTTCCTCATCCTGTTGGTTAAGCATGGCCCACCTGTGCTCTTCAAGCTTTGTGCCTCAGGAGAAGCAGCTCAGCCCATCAGAGTGGTGCCTGCAGCTAAGGGAGAGTAAGTCCTATGGTTTGCTGAGCCAAATGGAGCTAGATCTTGCTCACAGGTAAGTGTTCCTTCCTATTCAGTAGGGTCTGTTGCTGTTTTCAGGGTCCCAGGAACTTTCTACTCCCATTTCCAGCCTCTTTCCCTGGGGGTTGGCTTCCCCCTTCTTTAAAGAACGGCCAATCCATGCCCAGAATGGACCCATCTCTGATCCTTACCAATAAATGCTCCTGGTCTTGGCCTTGGAATAGTATCTCACTAAGAAATGGTCCAGATCAGGGCTTATTATTCCTGAAACCCCTGAGGTTAATTAATTTAGGCATGCTTTAAACTTATCCTTAGCAGCCTAGCTCAGAATGCACAACCTGGACCATTTGTTCTTTTCTTTATGTCTCACAATGTTTCCTACCCAGTCCCGGCCTCTTGTCTCCTTCTGGAAATTTCTTACTGCCCCATTCATGATGAAATATTCTTCAACAATAGGAAAGAATCTGCATCAATGATTCTCAAACCTTTGGGACAATAAAATCAACTAGAGTGCTTGTTAAAACACAGGCTCCTGTACTCTCAGGATTCCAGAGTTTCTGACTCAGTAGGCCTGGGGTGGACCTAGGAATTTTCCTTTTTAACAAGTCCCCAATTAATGCTAACACTGTTGGTCTGGGGACCACACTTGGAGAACCACTGCTTTGTATCTTTAACCTCTTACTGGAGCATTCTTCCACTTGCTGCTCTAACTGGAATCTGGCCATCCCCTGCAGCTTTTTCAAGGTAACTGTCCCTACTCCCTCTGGTTTTCTCTGTCTTCTATTTCTGGCTTAGATTCCAGAGTCCATCACTTAAGCCTGTCATCTCCTTGACCTGGGGTCCCTTTGGCCTAGCTTTCTCAGAAGAACCACAAACCCCCTCTGCACATAAACCCGACTGCTAGAGAAAAATGACACAGCCATGTAGATTAGTACCCCCCCCCAAATTCATCTCCAAAATCAACTTATACCTTAAAGCTGACTAGCAAAGTTTGCCAGTTACCTATTCAAACCTTCATCCTAGAACAATGTCCTTCAAGCTGAGTATTTTCAAATCCTATCCAGGAAAGCACTACAAGCCCTCAGACCTTCCTTCACCAAGACATCCCACCATCCATCACCATAGTTGTGGGAGGCAGAATTCTAAAATGGCCCCAGGATTTTCCCCCTATTCTCCGTAACTGTTAAATATGGTGATTAGATTATTTTACGAGCATGAAGAAAGGGAAATTATGTTGGTGTTCCCAACCAAATCAAAAGAGTCCTTTAAAATTCCAGGGTTTTCTTTGGTCACAATGTAGGAACGCAGATTTTAAGCCTGTGAGAGATTCCACATGCCATTGCCAACTTTTCAGATAGAGGAGAAGTCAGGGCTACGAGGAGAAGAATGCAGCAGACCAATTAGAGTCCCCTGACCAACAGCCAGCAAGGAAATGGGGAACTCAGCCCTAGGGCCAAAGGGAGCTCAATATTGACAGCCTCAATGACCTTGGAGGCATGATCTTCACTACAGCCTCCAGATGTGAGCCCAACCCAGCTGACACCTTGATTTTGATCTTGTGAGATGCTAAGCCGAGAACCCAGTTGAGCCTGCCCAGACTTCATGGCCAACAGAAATGTGAGATACTAAATGGTTGTTTTAAGCCATTAAGTTTGTGGTAATTTGTTATGCAGCAATAGAAAACTAATACAGTGGTTCAGTGAGGTTTCTCTCTGCCCCTCAGGCTAGTCCTCCACCTGTGCTCTGGACCCTGACCACCAGCCAGCAGTACAGGGCAGTGAATAAGAGCACTGGCTCTGGATCCAGACCACCCGGTTTTGAATCCCAGCTGCACCATTGTGAGCAAGTTGTGTGAGCTCTCCGTGCCTCCCATTTCCTTGACTGATAACATTACCTCATAGAATCATAAAGTAACATTGTAAAGCATTTAGGACACCTTTGGGCACATTTCAGTTGCTAAATGAATGTTGGCTACTCCTACTACTTACGCTATAGTCTTCATCTCTTGCTGCATCCTCAGGGATCTTCCTTTCATTGTCCCATCTCACATCTTCAAATGCTTTTTCCCTTTGACTGCTATGTTGCCACCAGCATTTAAAAATTGTTTCAAAATTATAAAATTAGCACATGCTTATAAAAAGTTCCTCATTCAGGGTCATTGTAGAGTAAAAAGTGAAAGGAGAGTCTACTTATGATGGTTTGATACAGCCTTCCAAGAAATCTTTTTAAAAATGCATTACCAAACACGTAGGCACAGGGTTTTTCTATCAGCTGAAATAATGGAAGAATACCATGAATATGATTCTAAGACTTCATTTCACTTACTATAGTGTGGCACTCTTACTGCTTACCACAAGCTTTAAATGGCCACAAAATTGCTTGGTTTGAAGGTGCTATGATTTATTTAACCATTCCTCTATCACAATTCAATTGTTTCCTATTTGTCATTCTTTGATATTGTGATTTATAATATATATTTGATCATTCATATGACCAAAATATATTTCTCAGATATATTTGGTCTTTGTCCACAGTTTCTGGTCCACAGCTCCCAAAACCCTTGAAATGTCATGTGTGGTAAGAGCAGTGGAGCATCTTTTGTTATATTTGATCTCTTTGTCCTCAGTTCATGACAAAGCCATAAAGGTGAAATGTGTCTTGTTACTCATAATGAACTCCCTTCCACAACAACTGTGGAAGATGATTTTTGGAAGCACCTAAAGATGCAGGGGCAGGGAGGGGCATGTTGATTTCCAGGAAAAACAAACTGAATGGAGTTGAAACTTTCAGTCCCACCCTCTGATTTAGCGAAGAGGGACTGGAGGTTGAATCAATCACCAATGGCCAATGATTTAACCAATCCCGCCCATGTGATGGAGCCTCCATAAAAACCCAAGATAGGGTTCAGAGAGATTCTGGGAGGTGTTGGGAGAGTGCTGCGCCTACAGATGGCTCATATCTGGAATGCTTTTATTCATTGTGGAGTTTACAAAATGCTGACATTTCTTATGCATGAGGGGGTCTCTAAGCACAGTGACCCAGAACATTGTCTTGCCCTTTTAGGAGCAAGGACTAACTTACCAAAGCCAAAAAATTGCTCATATTGTAAAGTCACCCTGTTTTTAAAAATCCCTTCCAGATCACTGAGCATGAATCAGAGTCATGACAACAGCCAAGAGTTAAGATGTAACAATACACTACCTTTTAAGTAGATGGGATAGGCTTAAATATTTCTTGAATCTAAAGATTTGGGGGCCAAGACTAGAACTTATTTAAACTTCCCTGGAGCTCTTATGCATCCGATTCTTCACTTACCTGCTTTGCTTCATTCTTTGCACCCCAGATGTAATCACCCCAAAGCTCTCCTTCGGGCTCTCCCCACTCCTGTCAGCCCTGTCCCCACCAGTCATAGGGTGGTCCGAACTCAAGCTTCAACCAGGTGTGGATGAGCTGCTAGTCCAGTCCCTCAATCTCACCATTTAACACTCTTCCCCCTACCACCTACGCAGAAAAGCAGAACACCTTCTCTTCCCAAGTTAACACTTTTCCCTGGATTTTACCATTTTTTCTATGGACTCAAGTTCAAACTCCAGCCCTTTTCTAAGATTCAAGTGTGTTAGTCCTCGAAGACACATGGAGCTTCAGATTATATCTCTTTGCTTACTCACAGCTGACACGACGTGTGGGAGCTCTTGTCTTTTAGCTGGGCATATTGCCACTTGGGATAAACTGGGATGCTGTGACTAAGAAAGAGTGGAGAGTAGATTTTAATTGGGCAGGTAGCTAACAGTGTCTGTTGTGATGCTTCAGGTAATGAAAGAAGCAGTGTTCTCCCATGTCCCTCTACTCTGTTGTCTCCAGTCATCATTCTCCCTTCTTCCATTAACAGCTACGTTTCTCTATAAAAGACTATAAACTCTCAGCGTTCTCTACCTCCTTACTCCTTCACTCAGTGCAAATCCAGATTTTGTTACCATCAAGCCCATTCATCCACCCTCACTGAGGACACTAATGAACTTCTTGCTGCTAAATGGCATGGAAACTTTTCAGTTCATATCACTAAACCTCACTTCCCAGATATCAGCCTAACTGGTTGCCCCTCTACTGGCCTTTCTTAAATTCTTTTGCTGGCTCTCTTCCCAAATTTCTCTCTTTCATGTTCATGTTCTCCAGGTTATGGTTGTAAGGTTTTCTCCATCTTTTTGTTCATTTGTTGGTTTTGTTTTTGTTTTTAACTGAAATATAGTCAGTTTACAATGTTGTGTCAATGTCTGGTGTATAGCATAACACTTCAGTCATAGATATACATACATATATTTGTTTTCACGTTCTTTTTCATTACAGGTTATTACAAGATATTGAATATAGTTCCCTGTGCTATACAGTAGAAACTTGTTGCTTATCTATTTTATATATAGTAGTTAGTACCTGAAAATCTCAAACTACCAATTTATCCTTTCCCACCCCTTCCCTCCAGTAACCATGTTTGTTTTCTATGTCTGTGAGTCTGTTTCTGTTTTGTAAGTAAGTTCATTTGTCCTTTCTTTTAGATTCCACATATAAGTGCTATCATATGGTACTTTTCTTTCTCTTTCTGGCTTACTTCACTTAGAATAAAAATCTCCAGATCCATCCACATTGCTGCAAATGGCATTATTTTATTCTTTTTATGGCTGAGTAGTATTCCGTTGTATAAATATACCACAGCTTCTTTATCCAGTCATCTGTCAATGGACATTTCTGTTGTTTCCATGTCTTGGCTATTGTAAATAGTGTTGCTGTGAAATTAGGGTTCATGTACCTTTTCAAATTAGAGTTTCCTCCAGATATATGCCCAGGAGTGGGATTGCTGGATCATATGGTAAGTCTATTTTTAGTTTTTTAAGGAATCTCCATACTGTTTTCTATAAAGACTGCACCAAACTACATTCCCACCAACAGTGTAGGGCGGTTCCCTTTTCTCCACACCCTCTCTAGCATTTATTGTTTGTGGACTTTTTAATGATGGCCATTTTGATTGGTGTGAGGTGATACCTCATTGTAGTCTGATTTGCATTTCTCTGATATAGCTATATTGAGCATTTTT